AGGAAAGGTCCTTTTGAGCGTGCCTTAGAAACGGCAACATGGGGGTCCTTAAGTAAAATAACTTGTTAGGGAGTTGTAACCAAATAATTGCGAGCAAGGAAAAAAATATTAAAAAATACATAACGCAATGGTTAGGGTACCTTTGGATTTATTATAAATGTTATTCTAAAGTATTAGTTCAAAACGTTTTCTTTTCTAGCTTTAAAAAATGTAATAAAGTATTTTAAACAGCTATTAAAGTTTTTAAGTATTTTAAACTATTAAATTTAATAGTTACGAATGCTAGACCTTTCTTTAATGATTTTTAGGCTTAAAAACTAATTAACTTTTACCGTGAATAGAATTCAAAACATGGTTTCGAGCCTTGTAAATACCCTAGGTTGTGGCAATATAACTATCCTTTCATAGCTAGTTACGATGGGGAATTTACATTTTTAATTGAAGAACGGGAATAAACTAACGAAGCTTCCCATTGCCGATGGCCAAGGCCGGCAAACGTCATAAATGTAATGCGTTTCTTTTATGGCCTTTGTCATAGAAATCCACCCAAAGAGTTGGCAACATAATTTATGCACCACCGACCGCCTTCCTGCGCGGTATTTATGGTCTTGACCAGAGGAGACCATCCATTTGCCAGGCTTCGTCGAGGTGATAATGTAAGGAAGAACACACGATTGAAGATCTGGATGTGCTGCAGGCAGACAGTCAGGCCATAACTATAAGAAGAGCTACAGCATCGCGGTCCAGAACAGAACAGAACAGAACCAAACCTCAAGTCCAAAGACCAAAGACCAAGGCAAATAAATTGCAGCTGCTCGAGCGGGGCGATGAAATACAAATAGAAATACTTGGCAGCTACTGGACGTTGGATGAAGTTGCCACAGAGTAGTTGGCCGACGGGCGGGGGCATCAGAAGGGGGGCCCACTGTCAGTCGCAGTCACTTCACATGTCCTTCGGCTTGTTTGTCTTACACTCTGACGCTCTGTGGATCGCAGTCGAGTGAAGTAAAGTTGTTTGGCCAGACAAGACTTGGCCAAATGTCGGGCCAACGCAGTCGAGCACGAATCATGACCATTTGGGCATAAAGAACTACCTTTCCTTGGCCAATTGTACAGTGGCAGAAAAGTGGGGCAAGAAACTTGTTTGTTTATATCAAAATTATATTTATAAAACAGGAAAAAAGGTTAAAGACATCGTCGTTTATGGTATTTACTGATTTTAATTTTTGTAATCAGCAACCTGCTGATTATTTTTTTATAATTTTAAATATACGATATTCTCCAGTATGTACGTAATGAATATATCAAAATGCAATAAAAATTAAAACATTTTCATTCATTATTTTACATATATTTATTCTAAGTTTGACAACTTTTGAATTATGATTATGTAAAAAAAAGTTAAGCGATTGATATTTAAACAGAATAGTTATGTTATTGAATCTCCATGGTTGATTATTAATTTTGGTATACATTTTTCTGTGTGTACCCCCATTCCCAACTTCTCTTGACCTTTAATAGTATGCTTGAGTCTTGGATTCTCAACTCGGCACTCAACTCAGCCTCCGATTTAATCAGCCTCGCGGACTAACATATAATTTTGTGAATTGCAAGTTGCATGATAGGCATAGGCTCCCAGGCTCAATAGTATTCTCCGTTTCAAAGGAGGCCAGTAAATTGAATACGTTTGGGTTATGATGTGCTTGCCGCTGGCTTAGATAAATTTCCGGCTCTCTCTCCGGCCTCGTATGCAGATGCGAATTGAAAGGGCTGAGCCCATTAGATGTCGACACAAGGCTTTCCCCCGAAAAACCCGGCGGTAATGACCCTAAATCAGCATCAGCTTCTAGGCCAATGCCCAACCGAATGTCATCATCGGCCGCGGGCCTCCCATCCAGTAGATAACCATCCCATCGCAGTCCCCAGATTGTAATAAAAATGTCGTCTGACTTTCGATGGGGGTGTCTTCGTCTGGGGTTCTCGCTTCGCTTTCGGGTCCTTCTGTCTGTCTGGCTTTAATGCACAACATATTCATGTGTCAAAAGACAATTTCGGATTTATGGCCTGCGAAATTCCCCCACCCGGAATCCGGCAAAATGACGCAATGTGGGCGAACAACCAACAACGACAAAAAATATGTTAAGAAAGCATAAAATGATATCCAAACTACCCACTATGATCTGGTCTGGGCTGCAGTCTGGTCCGTTTGGAAATCTCGTTCATGTCTGCCTTGGGTTTGCATAAATTAGGATCTGGACGGGTTTGCTGAAAGGAAAAGGAAGCTTGGAACGGGCAAAATATTCAGTTGGTAGCGCAAAAAATGGCCATTTCTTTTTTTTTGGTTCTAGTTCCACACACTCATGTGTGTGTGTGTGAAAGAGTTTTCCCCTTTTTGGTTGATGCGATTGCTATGGCATTTTTAGGGTTGTAATTGAAATTAAATAGATGTCGTGCCATGAATTCAAATCGCTCTCGTTTGCCCTGCGAAATGGGGATCTTAAAGAGTTATAGGCGCTGAAACTTAAAATAAATATAGAAAAATTGTTGGGTAGTCTTTAGCTGAATTAAAGATGAATATAAAAACAAAAGATTGATCCAAAACTAGAAAAATTCTTTAGTTGGATACTAAAGTTTAAGCGAAAATTGTAAGCTGAATTGCATTCATCCTTTTCCCGTCTCTGCAGTTGAAATTGCTGTACTTAAACTACACTGTTCTCCCCCTTTTTTTATTTCCTTTATCAACACCGAGCGAGAAAAGCAATTGCTTTTCCTCCCCTTCAGACATATTTCCTGCACTTGGGTAACTATTTTCGCACAGCTTGAACAACTTTTACTTTTCTCCGAGCGTTGAATTTATGTGTCACTGGCACTTGCAGTGGAAGTTTTTGGGCGACGCCCCCTCGTCCTTGCCCCCCTGATTGATGTTGGCCAAATCGATTTTCCTTCAAGGCACCTGGCATCCCAGCACTCGAACAGCCCCACATCCACGGCATCGACTTCATTTGTTGGGCAATCAGCTCTAATTAGCACCAGACCAAGTTGAAATGCAAAACGCGTCGCTAGGGGATTTTAAGGGGTTGTGGGTGATGGTGGGTTGCTCAAAGTAAATTGCTATTACTTGTCTATAATTGTGTTAGAAGTTGGGGAGAGGGGGGTTGAAAAGTTTTACATCTGAGGAATTTTAATTGTAATTGTTTTCAAAGTTGAAAGCTAGAATGAGTGACTGAACAAAAAATGCGAAAAAATCGACTTCCTTTGGAGGAGTAAGTACTCTTAAATAGTTGATGAAATGAGGCTTACATTATTAAATCTTTACAAACACATTTTGTGTCATTTTACGATTGATTTAATGGTAACATTTTTATAACTCATGTTTTAAAGTCATATAAAAATTAACAATTTTTAAGCAAAGCATTTTCGTGTTTAAAGTAAGCAACCGAGCTTAACTGCATTCAGACTTTGGGACTCTAATCGCCTCATTTATTTTTGTTTGCATATGCATTTCTTTTTCTGTTTAATGAGGTGCACCTCACATGTCGCAGACCCATTAACCCTTTGACCCCCGCTGCGCTGTGGTGCAGTTATCAGAAGCCCTCTATCTGGCTTAGCTCGGTTCATTATGCGACAGTTTCTCATATCTATATCTACCCTTAGACCTCGAAGTTCCCTCATCCCTTTCTGCCGACTCGCAGGGCTTACTAATTACATTTTCAAAGTGCAAACGAAGCGTGCTAGAAGCGAAGGGGGTTTGTCTGGGGGTTTGCCCCACTAATTAGTACGATATATATATATTTGTATATATATATATGTGCTTATGATGCGGACCGCTTTATGCGCTCCTCTGGTTCCCGGTGGCATGAATAGACCGAGGAATAAGTGGCATAAATTAAAATAAAATGTACAAGTATGAAATGTAACTGCGGCCGGGAGCCGACGACTGCGATAAAAATCTAAAATAAACACGCTGCAGCAGCAACATGCAACGCACAGCAACATCAGCATTAATTAAGCATGAACATTTAACCTGCCCACTCGACCACGCCCCCCTACATTTCACCATCAAGAGGGAGTCGCGTGTCTTGGCAAAGGGTCTGCGTTCTGTTTTTTATAATTTGATTGATTTATTGTGTATCCCATGGAGGCGCCTCGCAGATGCAACAAGAAAAGGAATTCCCCTTCCTTATAGGAAAGCGCATGGCTAATTTAATTAAAAATGCATTGTTGGACAGGTAACAGTTGCAGGTTACAAACAAAGGGGACTGTCAAAACTATCAGATCAATTTGCAGTTAAGGCTAAAGAGCGGGGGAAAAAACCCTGGACAGGTGCCAGCAGGTGTGACGTGGGTGCCCTAAATGGGCATCACTTTCTCCTCTAAAGCGAAGTTTTCCCAGCAGGTTCAGTGTCTTTAAGTCCGTCCATCATTCCCCAAACTTATTTGTTGATTGTCTGCAATAAAAAAGGAGCAAGGAAAATCGACCATCACTTTAGGAGCGCACAGCATGCCATTTAACTCCTTCAATATGTCACTAAAGTGTCTCGTTGGACAGATATTTTCCGAACTCCGATTCAGTGCGGAGAAAATCAATTTTCCACGCCCACCGACGAGCAGAAGAAAACTGTTATCCCTTGTGATTGATTATGCAGTCGGGTCGAGTGACTGAGCAAAAAGTTTTTCTTCAATTCACTTGGCCCACAAATATATCATTAATTTCGCCTCGGCTGGATAGGATTAGGATTGGCATGGGGGCTTTCTTGATGTGCAACAAGCATTGCACTGAAAAAAAAAATAGTCGCTCTTTAGATTAAAAGAAACTATCCAAAGAGAATGTATTTTAAGCTTAAGTTTTGTAAGTAAATGATCTTTAAGTATCCATTATATTTTTAAAAACTAGTTAAACATTATATATGGAAGTGTTATAGGTTTACTAATTGTATTGAATTATAAAAATGTTTTTTCGAGTGTACTAAATACGTTTACCCTTTTGCTATCCATTTGCAGGAGTCTCAGCTGAGCTGTACTACGTGCGAGAGGGTGCCATTAACGACTACGCCTTGAACTTCGCCGTACCCGTGCCGGCGAACATCAGCGACGTGACCTTCACGTGGCAGTCGCTGGTGGACTACCCACTGCCCTACAGCATCAACATCGCCACTTCGGACACGGAGGTGTTGCCCCGGCCCATGCTGAACATCTCCCGGATCGGGGATGTGCCCATGGAGCCGCAGACCTGGGGCATTGCCCTCAAGTGCTCGGGCACGAGGAATGCCGAGGTCACGGTCACTATCAATGTGGAGGTGATCCTGGACAGGGCGACCAACAACAACACGAACCTGATCTTCAAGCGCAAGAAGATCTGTTTGCGGGAGGAGCAGGATAGTGCACACGAGGAGTACGACGACGATGATGTGGACCTGATGCAAACCGCACGAGGTGGCGGAGGAGGCGGAGGACATGGCAGCGATATCCACTATGTGGATCGCAACGAGGAGCATGTGGTGGCAAATGGACACCTGTCGCCGGAGCGGGAGCGTGAGAGGGAGAAGCAACGGCCGATGGTCACAGAGTCACCGGTGAATGTGGGCAGGGGAAATTCTGGCGGATCCAAGCGAGACTTTGATCCCATGCTTAGGGAGAACCTGGTGCCGCCGGCCAGTGGCCTGGTCACCCTCATTGTGGGCGGCATTCTGGCCCTGGTGCTGGTCTCCACTCTCATCCTGATCGCCTACTGTGCCAAGGGTCCCTCCAAGCGTCATCCCTCGAACGGGGTGCACCTGATCAAGACGTCCAGTTTCCAGCGTTTGCCCACCATATCGTCGACGGCCCACAACTCGATATATGTCTGCCCGTCGACCATCACACCCACTTATGCCACGCTGACGCGGCCCTTTCGCGAATATGAGCATGAGCCTGAGGAGTTCAACCGCCGCCTCCAGGAGCTGACAGTCCAGAAGTGCCGCGTCCGGCTCTCCTGTCTCGTCCAGGAGGGAAACTTTGGCCGGATCTATCGCGGCACTTACAACGACTGCCAGGAGGTACTGGTCAAGACCGTGGCCCAGCACGCCAGCCAGCTGCAAGTGAACCTCCTGCTCCAGGAGTCCATGATGCTCTACGAGGCCTCGCATCCGAATGTCCTCTCCGTGCTGGGCATCTCCATCGAGGACTATGCCACGCCCTTCGTTCTCTATGCCGCCACCGGAAGCGTGAGGAATCTGAAGAGTTTCCTGCAGGACCCGTCGTACGCCAGGAGTGTCACCACCATCCAGACGGTGCTCATGGGCTCCCAACTGGCCATGGCCATGGAGCATCTGCACAACCACGGCGTCATCCACAAGGACATTGCGGCCAGGAACTGTGTGTAAGTGTCACTCTGAAATGTCCTTGATTGAAATATAAGCATGTATTTGTTTTCGAATAAAATAACTAAATGGTTTAAATGATTTTGTTTAAGTTGTTTACCTTTTTAGCTTAAGCAATGAAAGCTAATTAGCAATAGGGATTTGTTTTCAAATATAGGAAATATAAAATTAAATGATTTGTTAAGTTTATTGCCCATTTAACTTAATTAGTAAAACTTCACCCCAGCCTTTCATATTGTTTTTGAAGATTTAATGTATAAGAGAAACAGTGAAGTTAAAACCTAAAATTTAATGTGTAATTTATTTATTTTTCTCCCACAGGATTGATGATCAGTTGCGTGTCAAACTCACGGATAGTGCCCTAAGTCGTGACCTCTTCCCGGGAGACTACAATTCTCTGGGCGATGGCGAGTACCGACCCATCAAGTGGCTTTCGTTGGAGGCTTTGCAAAAGTCGCACTATAACGAGGGTAGTGATGTCTGGTCCTTTGGCGTCCTCATGTGGGAAATGTGTACGCTGGGAAAGCTCCCCTACGCCGAAATCGATCCCTACGAGATGGAGCACTATCTCAAAGACGGCTATCGACTGGCTCAGCCCTTCAACTGCCCCGATGAGCTGTAAGTTTCCTTTATATACTTATATTTTGTTTTAATTTAAGGCACTTACTATTGTAGACAAGTTAAACCTCTTTTTGTTTAGACATTTTCCTAAAACAAAATTCCCATTGTTAATATAAACTCTTCCTCATTTACAGCTTTACCATTATGGCCTATTGCTGGGCCTCGATGCCAACTGAGAGACCCTCGTTCAGTCAGCTACAGATCTGCCTATCGGAGTTCCACACCCAGATTACCAGATATGTTTAACCAGCGGTGCTGAAACATGCCAAGACCTGTAAATATAACAAGAGGCGACGTCGCAAGATTTTCCAGCAGACCACGTCGTCCACTCTGTTCCCAAAGACATATTAAATGGTAGCGCCTAGATATTGGGGTTAGTAGCAGATCCCCACAAGTACATACATGAATGACTTATGAGAAAGTAAGAATTATATAGCAGGAGAGCGAGACAATGATGTCTCCCCACATAACTCCTAGTTGTATGTTTAGCCAGTAAGGACATGTGACATTTCAATGCAAAAGTAAGGATTATATATAAAACATACACACACTTACTGAAATCGCCTGTTAAGACAAACACACACACACCCGTTCTCTCGATAAGAAGAGCTAAGTCCCAGTTAAAAGTTATCTCGAAGACTCCAGCGTAAAATAAAAAGAAATAGCAAATATTGATATAGTAATCATAGCTAAAGCAGATCCATTAAAATCAGAGTCCCACAAAAAAACCAGTGCTAGGATAGGTCCCCAAACAAAAACATAAGTCGTAGTTGTGAAAGAGAGCGTTGCAAGTTTGTCATTATAATGGGATACCAATACGATACCGAAACATATATCTATGTAAATGTATTCACTTGTGTGTTTATGTCTAAGAACCGTAGTGCTAGTAAGAACTCGAAATATTTATCTAATGTTAGTGCACACGCGACCCGAAATCTTTAACCCTAAGTTACTGCCCCATACAGTCTCGAGTTGTAAGTTTTTGTGTAATATACTTAAGCAGTTTGCATTAGTTGTTAAGTTACTCTTTATGGTTTTCTATGGCAAAGACACAAAAGAAAAACGATTTCAATAAACGTCCGTGCATAATATTTAAAAACAAAACAACTAAATGGTGCCTTTTTTTCCAAGTGGGCAAGGGGAAATGGAACGAGCAACGCTCTAAGTAAGGCATTCTCATTGAGCCCGGCCACGCCCGTCACTTAGCCTAAAACAACGCACTCTAAGAGCAATGTGCTGTTTGGATACCACCTCCACCATCCTCTGGCCACCCAAAGCCAGGACCAGGCCCAAGCCCAGGTGAACCTAACCAAACCCAACGCCACCGAACCAATCTCTTTGCGACACAAAAGGCATGTAATGCCAACTGCCTATTTCAGAGCAGGCGATTCCTCTACCTACGACCACAGGGATGCCTCGAAAATGGACACTTTGTGTTTAAGTAATTTTCCTGGAACTGGTTTCATAACACTTTAAGTCATTATATAGAGTTTGTCACATATTGCAAAGACTATTTAATGGTTTTAAAAATGGAATAATTTAATAATTTATAAAAAAAATTCTTGCTGACTATGTTCAACAAGATTTAAACAAAATATTTATAAAAGCGTTTTTTATTTTAGTTTATTTAACAAATTACTTATTTTTATTTTGTCAAGAAGAAAACTTTTTAATTATAATACATGATATTGTAAATCTTCATGAAAAGTAATATTTATATATTCTTATATCTAAATTTAAATACAAAAGTTGATTCAAGCAATATAGTAAGTATTCCCAAGACTATCCAAAACTAGTGTATATCTTAAATATTTTAAAACAAAATCCTTTTCAAGGAGCCACCACTGTACAGTGTACACACGTAAGTTAAGTCCTTTCCCGTACACCTGCACGTAAATGGTAGAGGGGCGAGGTCAGGGCATGCCTTTTGATTGCCATGCTGACACTACTTAGTTTTTGGCACGTCATGCTGGGGACATGATGTTGGCAGCGTCCTTTTTAATATGCCCGTCACACCATCAACGAGGAAGACTAGTTTTTGTCCGACTCTGGCCCCGCCCCCTTTTTGCCCCCTCCCCCCCCTGAAGATCCTTTAAAAAACACTCCGAGTGGGCTGCTCGTTCGGCACGTGCCCACAACCAAGGCATTTAGCTAAAGCCACTACGCAAATCGAAAGCTAATAAGTGCGAGGCCACCAAGGACTCGAGTCCTCCACCAAAGTGGCTTATACAGAGTCACAAATCTCCAGGTTTATGCATAAATTCAGTACATTTTGAGATGAGATGGCGTTCCAACTAAAAAGTTTTTTTTATCTCATCTACTTTATGGATGGGCTTAACGTTTAAATTATTAAAAATATGACATCTTTAAATTTGGAAAAGCTATTTGAATAAAATATTATAGTCATTATTTACTATTACTGAATTAAACTACTTTCTTTCTACTCACTTTCTTTTTCAAATTTACCCATCATCTAAAAGTTCCTATAAAATCCAAACTGCTAAATCAAAAAGTAGTTTAAATATATTAGAAAAAAATTTTTGTGGCCAATATGCAACACAAAGAAACCCAGCGAAAAAACTTTTCCGAACTCTAGAAAGTGCAAAACTTCAAAGTGATATCGATGAAAGGGCCGCGAATTCGTGACTCGAGTGACATCGATGAAAAGAGCACCCCTTTGATTTTTGAACAAATTGCCAACTGTCAGTTAATATCCATAAAAATCGCCTTGCGGTCGACAAAGATTTATAGTGTCAAAGGAACCCAATCAAAGGGCTGGAATGCCGGTGAACTCGAATAGTTGCGTTTCAATCAAATTAAACTGCATACCCACACAGGGGGGCGTACAAAGGATATTAAGTTATTAAAAACGCAAAACGGTAAGACAGCCTGACCAAATAAATGGAAGCCAGTCACAGGATGGTACGCACCCAAAAACTGAAACGTCAAAGAGGTCGCAGTGAATCTGAATCCCAGAATTGGACGGAAAAAGGAAACCATCGCAAAAGTGAGTGCGGCAAAAAAAAAACTTGAAATTGAAAAACAAAAGCCAACTGGAACTTTGTTTTCGGTCAACACTCTAAGCCAAAAATCAACAAATATAAAAAATTTCGTGGCACGTGAGGCAGCATTTCAATTTTTTAGCGCTGAAACTTTTCGTCGGCGTCGGCGGGAAACCCCCTTCCATAGCCAAACCAATACCATAAAACACCAGCAACCGGTGAGCGGAAAAAGTGGAAAATGGCATGGCGGGGAAAGCGGGAAAAACAAGAGTGAGTGAGAGTGGAGCGACATTTTGGTCGTCAGTCAGCGAGAGTGGACTCCTTTGGGTGCCATTTGGGAAGCCTTCGGCCATGCCCCATGCCACATGCCCCCTGTCCCAGTTACTCACCTTTTTCCCATCCTGCGGCTGCCCGATGTCTGAACTTTTTACTGGATGAGCTGGTGCGGGCTGATGAGTAGCTGCCAGTGCTGACGACTTTTGCTGGCCAACAAAAAAAAACAGCCAACTAGTCCTGTTAAAAAAAGTTAAACATCCGTAATAACTTTTGAGGAAATAAAAATATATAATTGCCATTTAAAATGTACCTTTTGTACATTTAAATAAGGAAACAAATGTTCTTAAAAGGTTACCAGCTTTTGGGAATAAGTATTTTAATGAGATACATTTTCTCTATTAAATGTTTAACTTGGGAAGTGTTATAAAAAGTATACTTCGTGATTTTAAAAATAAACATAAAAGTACCTTTTGATAAGTAAATAAAAATCATTACATATTTTTTTGTGGTCTTAAAAAAGCCAAAAATTGCGCCACTGATCTATAGAGGAGTAGGCATCATTTTGCTGATGGTTTTTGCTAACTGCAACCCAACTTCTGGCAAAGTCGGTAGGGGAATGGCCTGTCCTCAAAAAATTGATTACTTTGTCGAGAGCGCGACGCGGTCCAGTTTGGTTCAGTGCGGTTCGGTTGGCATTTTCAAGCTGTTGATTATGGCCACGGGGCATTAGCTGAAAAATAAATATTTACCTTTGAAATTATAAGGCAAACTTTTCCAGCTTCTGGTATGAATCCTATGATTGTTGCAACAGCTTTGGTTCGCTTCAAAAAGTTTTTTTTTTGATTGCAAAACTAATTAAAAAGTTGATGAAGTTCGCCGTTCGGAATTACTTTTAAAGATTTAATTCGTTCATTGTGGATCAGAAAGAGAGAGAGAGAGTGTTTGAATGAATGGTATTTTTGGAAAGGGTTAATTTCTTCTAAGGTTGCTATTGGATGAGTTATAATGGCATGATATTTTAAATTTAATACATTTATAAAACAACTACCTTTGATCATCATTAGATAAAAAAAGATATTGAAGTTACGTGTAAATTGTAAGTAAATTAATTTTTTGTCTGTTTTATGACATTTTAAAAAAGCTTACGGGCATTGCCGTTGCATAGCTAACTCTTAGATATGTACAACTAAAATGTCTTATTGGCATTTTCTAGCATTCTTTTTTTGTATTGAAAATATATGCATGTATTTTATTAATTTAAATGCCACCTTCTCTCTGGGCTTAAAGAATGTCCGAAGACAGTTCTTCTGTTTTAAGCTAAGAGCTGCTTAAGCCACTTTCTCCACTCGACTATAACCGATTTTCCCGCCCGCTGTGAAGATGCCAAATGCAAAAATTGTTTTTCAATTTCTTTTCTTTTTCTTTCTTTCTTTTCTTTTCTTTTCTTTTCTTTTCAATACACGCAGCGGAACGAAAACGAAGCAGAGGGAGTGGAGAGCGAACAGAACAGAGAACCACATTAGCATACAACTTTTCTTATTATTTTTTATGTGAAAAATTCTCCAAATTGCCGCCGTCGCTGCGAAATGGGAAATGGGAAAGGAGTTTCTGGATAAGGAGCGGATGGAAGGCTGAGGGGCTGAGGGTGGTGGACTACCGTCAGCAACAAAACTGCAAACGGCCAAGGAAGCGGAAACGGAAAGCATACAACGCCAGACAAACGCCAAAGGAAAATTTCGTTTGCTCGGTGGTGTAACGAAGGGCTCTATCTCAGCTCCCAAGTACTTTGCATCGCTATCTGTAGCTGTATCTTTGTCTGTGTCTCCATCTGTAGCTGTACTTGTATCTGTATCTGTATCTGTATCTGGAGCTGTGTCGATGAGTCAAAGCCAATGGATGAAAAGTGAAAACCATCGCGAGTTGGCTTAAAATACATAATAATGACATGGAAGGAAATGATTTTCATTTGCCAGCCATCGCTTGATTGGAGTTACGGTTACCCAACTTCAGCCACACTCAGCCAAAAATCTTAGTACAGAAAATGTACAATAAAATTTTAAACAGATAAAACTTGTATTTGAAAATTTTTAAACTTATTTATTTATTTTTTAGTTGATACATTTATCTATAAACATTTTTCAGGTAATTGTTTAGTATTTTTAAATACATTTAATATTCTATATATTTAAACATTTTATTGTAAACTTAAAACATAAGTATTCTCAAAAGTTTTTTCTAGGAGCTAAAAAATGGGTTTTGTTTATTAAATATTAATATATATAGCATACAATTTGAAGTTATAACCTATGTGCCCTAATCATGGTATTTTACATTTAAAAATCTCGTTAAGACAATACTTTTTGAGTGTACAGCTCTAGCTGAAGCTACTGCTTCATTTGTCGCAAACTTTTATTGAATTACTCGGGCGTGCCTCCAGTCGCAGACTGTCTAACGTTTCGAGTGGTTGGAAGACCTTTTCGGCAAACTGAACTGGGTAGGAAATTCGTCTTCCTTTTGATTATAACGCCTTTTGAAAATTCATTAAAAACTTTTTTTTTTCCACTTTTTGCCGACGTTGTCAATCGATTAGCCTTCCTGCCCCCCATTTTCAGATGAAAAAGGGCGGAAAAAAACGACACCACCTGCATTCATTTATCATTTTGCAGCGCCACTTTTCGTCGCTTGGCGCCTTTGACTTTGCCTTTGACTTTCTGCCAATTGTCATTATTCATCGCAAACTGTTTGCTACGAGCTTCCACCTCCGTTTCCACTTGGCCAGGATGAGGACTGTGGGTTTCCCTTCGCCAAGTTGGCCGAAAATTTCCC